GGGTTCCAAAGATTATATGAATAAAATTAATCAAAATCAACCACAATACCTGAAAACTAAATTCACCAAAGCTCTAGGTTGCATTAAAAGCTCATAATTTCCAAACAACTTGAGATAATTTTTTCAATACTAATTTTAACCTTCAATACTATCTTACCGTTTTGGTTTGACGTTAAGTTCTGGGACACCCTGTATGGATTCATTATAGCTTTTAATAATGGGCCGCGCTTTCAGGACATGCACCGTATATGATCTAAGCTAGTGTTTGTGCACTATAATTAATGCAATTATAGATACTTGAATTATATAAATTGAAAATCAGATTTATTAGTTTTAAGTGAAAAGAGAAGACTTTATTTGCGATTAAACAGTTGAAAATTTTCCCATTATTTTAAAACTTACCAAAACTTAACTCATTCGCAGACGTGAATGCTATAGCATTCATTTTCATTGTGATGCTGAATGACTTGAATGCTATAGCATTCATTTTCATTGTGATGCTGATGATGAATGACTTGAATGCCAATTATTTTGAATTTAAAACCGAACGCTTTCAAACATTATTGGCATATGAGAAGTATTAATAAAAATTAATTCATTTTGTAAGTTTTGTAAGTGAAATGTAAGTCAAAATGCTCTTACATATAGTTTTCGGTTTACAATTTTTACATAAAAGCAATCAAATATGGCGCCTTGGAAACTTTCAGAAATTCTGTCAAGAAAAATTTTTCTAACATTTCTGAGAAAAAAATGTTACATTTAATCACAGTCGTTAAATTTATTTAGAAATGGCTAATTCGTTTTATTTTTAAGATTATCTTGAACTAACTCTGAAAAGTTTCTATATCAAGAAATATGCCAAGAAGTAGCTTAACTATATACAACATATTTACAGCAAAAATCAAATAATATTCTACATACCATAAATAAATCATTGGGTCTAGGGCTTTCTACATATATTTGCAAACACTGCACAAAATAACACTTTAAATTAAATAATCCACGTAAACTATTACATTTTATCTTAAACTTTATTTTGATATATAAGTAAAAGTAATAACCTAAATTTCAAGCGTTATGGTAATGTTTTGATGCAACTTCAAGTTGCAACTTCTAGTTGACATTTCTTCAAACAGAACTACCAACTAAAAGAGTTGTAATGTCAAAAAAAGACGTTTGAATAATGTTTGAAGTTTATAGTATAACGTATAAACTTTGTACGTTTTGTAAGTAATATTAGTTTATTAATTTCATTTTGATTTAAAATAGAATTAAAAAAATTGTACTTGCATCGCTGCCTTTTACTTAAGCATTGTATACAACTTCAAGACGATTGTTGACATTTCAAATAAACAGAACTACCAATCAATAGACTCGTAATGTCAAAAATGACGTTTGATAAATATTTAAAGTTTATACGTTTCGTAAATAATATTATTTAATTAATTTAATTTTCTTTAAAATACAAGAAAATATTTAAATCTGCATTATTGTCTTTTACCTATCTGTCTAATCTTAAATAATTCTGAAATCGTATATATTCAATTCCAGATTCAAGTTGAATTAAATTTTGTCAGAATAAATTTTACAGGAAAGGCATACTATGCCACAAAATGCTACAAATAACAATAATTAAATATTTCAATTTGTATGAAAATAGGCCTGATAAAACCACTTGGCAGCTTACAACATTTTTGATATAATCAATAATTTGAGTAAGATATTTCTCACTAAATTAACACGTTAATTGCCATGTCAGTCATATGTGTCTGACGCTAAAAAGCTTTTCATACAGAACCATATATCAGACATATATGTCTTACATTGTCAACTTGGTAAAAGAAAAAAAAGTTTAAATATAGTACCATGTCAGTTATGTCAAAAAAATAGTGTTTTCCAGGAATTTTGGCAAAAAATTATTTTTTCTTTGATACCATAAATTTTTTTGATAATTTTTTAACTAAATTATCTAAGATAGTTACCATGGCTTACATGAAAATTTTTCTGATATCGTGCCGATTAAGATGTTAATGATTTTTTTCTTAATTTTAATTTTATTCTGCAATCTGTATATCTAATTGAAAAGTTGAATTTAGGATGTTAATGATAACAAAAAATAATAAACCATAATATAATAAAATATTATTAAGATTAAATTGTTCATTCTAAGTCATTTGCTTAACCGAACATTAATTTCAAGTATTAGTGCAACCCAACACTAAAACAAAGCTATTGGATTTAGTATAGTATTTCAAAAATAAAAAACTAACAATACACAGCTAACTAAATAAAAAATATGATAACAAGCTAATTTTAAAGAAGAAATACCTATAGTTTGTCATCAGCATAAAAAACTCCAATAAAATATGCTGTTTTATATTATGTATAACGCAAAACAATCTAATTATAAGTATTTCTTGTTGAATTTGTTTGTTATCTTATTGACTTTGTATTAACTTTTTCCAGAAACTTTCAGTTTAATTTAGGCATTCGGGTAGTTGAGTTAATTTACGTTTCTTGATTTATTTATAGCATTTATTGAACTTACAACTCGTATCACAATTAAAAGTTATCCATTACCAAGATGTACAATTATAATTATTATATATTACAGATAAGTTATGTCGTACGACTGCAATTAATGAATGTCGTAGGTCTTTGCTCTGAATAAATTCGTTTATATAATATTATACTGTAATTAATATGTCGCATAATTCATTATTGTAGGTTAAAAGTTGTTGCTAACTGGAGATGATAAGTAATGAAGGATATACGCATTAGTATAAAAGAATTGTTACGTTGCAATACTTTGTGATAATGGATGGTTGAATCGCAAACTTTATCTCTCAAGCTTTTAATTTATATACGCAATTAGTTCGACATATAATTCATTAGTATAGGTTAAAAGTTGTTGCTAGCTGAAAATGAACACAAAGAAAATATGTATTTATATAAGAATAATGTTCATTGCTTTGTGATAATGGTGGTTGAATCGCAAGCGTTATCTCTCAAGCTTTTTATATAGATTCGTCATCGCGATATCGCGATTTATTTCTAGAACATTCGCGATGTCGATTGTAGAAATAATAGGGGAGACTGCGCACGGATACAGTCGCCCTAACAGCTATACTTGAAATAGGATCCAGATGTAGTATGTTTGTTTGAACAAGTTTACTTTATTGCGTTCATTCTACGCTCTACATGATCTGTAGATCGCATTGCTTTCAAAGAGTCAAAAAAAATCCTTTGTTTGATTACTTTTAATAATAACTTTAAATTGAACATTTGTAGTTAATTACCAGCAATTAGTTTTTGCGTATATAATTTAGCTCAAACTTAGTTATAGCAAGTCTGAATTTTCGACTATAGTGATTTTGAGATAGGATCCAAAGGGAGTAAGATGTAGTATGTTTGTTCAAACAAGTTTCCATTATTGCATTCAGTGTCCTACATCAACAAGATCTATAGATCGCTTTTAAAGAGTCAAAAAAAATTATTTGTTTGATTTATATTAATATGATTACTATTAATCGTAAGTTGTAGATTGTAATTAGTAATATATAGTATAGTATATTTTCTATTTATTATAATGTTGTAGTTTTCAAGTTTATTTATAAATGTCATGGTTTCATTGTTTTGTGAAGTCCAATTGTTGGCGTTGTTGATGGCGCGTTTAAGTTCTTGCACAAAGTGTTCAAGGAAGGACAAATATCAATTGCATGGAATTTTTTTTACAGTTGCATTAATTTTTAACTTTTTTCTTATGATAAAGTATCGAAATTACTGGAAAATATCTTGAATTTTTTTTAGAAAACTTGGAAAATGTCTTGAAAATGCTACATTTGACCTTGACCTTCAGCATTGTTCATGATGCATTTACCAGTTACATAAAGTCTAATACTAATTGTGTAGGGTTATTATAAATGTTTTTTATATATTTTGATATTGTGCAAGTGTTTTAACGTAGTAAGATAAGGTATTGAGATTCCTAAGATGTTGGAAATTAAATTTTTAAAAGAAATTCACTTGAATTTTTTAAATCTAAATAAGTCGATGTATTTGTTTGCTTCTGACTCACTTTGTGAACCAATTTAGTTGGTTTCGAGAAAAATCCATATGTATCTTTAGTGTACATTGGAGATTGACATCATTGGGAAGAATCAAGTTAACTTCGGAAAGTTAACCCTTTCCACTCGGATGTCGCCGTTCCGGTGGCAAAATACATATAAATCTCGTAATTCGCGAGTGGAAAGGTTTTTAAGGATTTTTGGACACTTCCGTCCTTTTTGATAATATTTAAAAGTGAAATCTTTATTTTTGAAATAAACAGTTGTGAATTTTATCTAAATAGCTAAATCTGAATTCTTACTTTTAGGCCAGATACACACATTGGGATGTGTGTACATTACACATATTGGGAAGTTTTTACAACTTGCATGACACCACTTACACTTGTTGTTAGACTAGGTGTCCTGGTTGATCTATCTTATTTATTTTCGAAGAAAGTGGATATCGCTGCATATTCATAACGCATTCAATATGTTTATCTTACGATTTTACGAAAAAAACGTAAATAAACATTAATGTGTTAATCATAAAAAACGATAGAGTTATCATCAAACAAATACACAAACCATTTTTTCAATGTTGAGCTTGTTCAGGCTTGCTTTCGTTTTTCTTCCACACGTGCTGCCTTAGGATTATTTCTTGTTTTTATCTGTAATCAAGTGGTTAGTGAGATCGTTCTATTAATTTTATTAGTACTAAGATAAATATTATTTTAATAAAAAGTTAAGGTAAATAATATCTTGAATTGTTATATCGACATAAATAATGTGATAAACGAAAGTGATAATTTATAGGCATACAAATTTTAAAGACATATATATTTATATATTTCATTTACATTTTTTTGTCAGGTTAAATTTAGTCTAGTCAGGTTAAATTTAGACTTTTTAGTTTAATCTGGTTGTTTATCCTGAGATTGTCTTTTTAACAAAATGATGTAATTATTGTTATCTCATTTGCAGTTGTGCAATTACATACTGTAAAATATTTATAACTTATTTGTATAAGTTTTAGTGAAGCTTTATAAGTAACTCGGAAACTGTTATATTGGAAAGTTAATAAAAGATCAATTATTTTTTATTTACTTTTTTATATTAATTAAGTGTTCAAAATTGTTTGTTATTTTTTCATCAAGTAGAAGAAAATTATATATTACCTCACAAAATTTCATAATTATAATTTATTAGCCATCAAATAGAACTATGTCCAAACATAATTAAATCCGGTACAATTCACAACCCATCTACAACCATTGAGAATCGGTATATATATATATATAAATTCACCATTTATTTGCTAAATGAATTATATAAATGTACTTGCAAAGCATGAGTTTTACCATTAGATTCACCCATCTAATAATTATTCTAAGATTATTCTGATTCTAGCCTAAGATCATATTAGTAAAAATAATATCAAGTCATATATAGCCATATATAATAATAATATAAAAAATATTATTAAATTATACTTTTTTTTCCTTTCAGATTCACCATAATGAAAGAACCAAAAAGATTAACAATGCCTCTGATACTATTCTGCTTAATGACTGTAGTTTCCAGTTTAGCCTTAAAACAATGCCAATCAAATAGTGATTGTTTAGGAAATGAGTACTGCTACCGAAATGAATTTTGTACCCCATGCTTGGACTGTTCCCAATATGGACAAAGTAATCCACCAGGATGTGCCAAAGATCCAAAAGATTGTGGAGAGTGCTTACCGGGGTAAAAATAATTATATTAATATTTTTAAAATATAATAGATAATTTTTTGTAATGTAAGAAGTGCATTCTATCCACTAATCAAACAACCACTAATCTAACATCAATCACTTTCAATTTATGGATTCGTTAATGTTAAATTCATATATGTATCTTTCACCTGGAATTACAAAGTTTTTTTTGTCTTTGCAATGCTTTCATTGTATTCGTTCAAAAATATTTTATATTACAGTATTATTCACTTTGATATTCAATTACGCACATTTGATTTTTTAATTTCAAATAGAGTCCCAAAAAATATTATGTATCATTTAAAGATTTTTTTTAAATAATTATTGAATTTTCAGATTCCAAAACGACCCTCAGAATCAATTTAATACTGGGAGAAAAAGATGCGTGGAAAATGATTTAGGTAAGGAAAAAAATTATAATTATATTACATTAATTAATTAACTAGTTGTAAGTGGTATTTTTTCTTGATCGACTTAATCGGTAAGAATTGAAAATTAGCTATTTAGATTAAATTTTCAACTGTTTATTGCGAAAAAAAGCTTCAGATTTTCACCAAAAACTAATCAACGCAATTGATTTTTTAAAAATTATAATTATATTAATTAATTAACTAGTTGTAAGTAGCATTTTTTCTTGATCGACTTAATCGGCAAGAATTGAAAATTAGCTATTTAGATTAAATTTTCAACTGTTTATTGCGAAAAAAAAAGTTTCAAATATTTACCAAAAACTAATCAACGCAATTGATTTTTCCAATTTCCAATTGATATCTTCCAAACAAGCTTATAATATTAAACACATTTCATTCTGTTTGTGTACTTTAGAACTCAGAATGAAATAAACATAGCATTTTTGCAAACTTTGATGTCTTTTATAATTCAAACACTTTTCGTAAGATTCTTATAATATTTGAGTACGTTAATTTACACCATGAACTATATTCCATACCATCTCTATATCATCATACAAATTTTCGTCAAAAACATTAAAAAAAACAAGACTTAATTTCGAAGAAAAGCCTGGCCAATCTTTACCAAAAGCTACTAATCAGTACGATGTCCAACTAATATCTTTCTGAATTTTCAAAATCGGTTCAGGATTTTTTTGCTAAAGCATTGATAAAAAAATTGCAATTATCTGCTAAATCTAAAAAAACGGCTTGGCTGATCTTTATCAAATTTCACCAAATGCAACACCCTTTTAACTTCTTGAAATCGGTTTACCCGTTTTTTAAGATATTTAAAAAAAAAAAAAAATTATAATCATTTAAAATTTCATTGCAAATGAAAACCATGGACTATATGTGTTGATGCAATTATATAGATACATAAACCAACTAATCAGCGTTTTATTTTTTTGCAAGCTAACCAAAACAAAATGGTAAACAAAATAAAATATTGCATGAAGCATGGTATGGTCGGACTAATTTTTCACTAAAACAATTATTCTGTTTTCAGGCCACGACACATCAACCGACTCTAACAAAGATACTCCAAAACAAGATATTTCGAATCACACACTTTTGATAATCATTTTCTCTGTAGTTGGTGTTATTTTGGTTTTTGCAATTATTGGTTGTTTCGTCGTAAAGTATCGTGTTGCGAGGAAGATAAACGAAATTACTGCAATTCCTGAGAAGACAAACGGAATGAATGATCCAAGTGCTCCGATGATGGCGCCTGAGCATGCAATTAACCATGCTTATTCTCAAAGTGGATCATACTGTAAGTTGAATATACATATATTAATAATATATGTTTTAATTGACAGTATTTAATTTAAATCTAATTGTACCTTTTGAAAATGAGTTTTTCAAGTAGGTTTTTGCCAAGAATTATAATTATGGCAATTACTAGAGGATATACGAACAATATGGTATATATGGACAAAATGACACAGTATTTAAAAATTGGCTAGTTTTAGTAACATTTTCGCGATTATATAACACGAAGAAAGCCATAATCACACTCCAGTCAGATGTTGAGCGTCATTGTCACAATCTTGTTTATTTTAATGGTGGTTTTGTCATGTTTTTTGGAGACTCATTGATTACACTGGACGACACAAAATTTTTTTTCTGAGATGTTATGATGGTTTTAAGTAATTCGAGGGCTCTGATTACGAAAACAGTGGCAGAAATTTGCTAACAGCTCTAGTTTTTCTGATATGCCAATATCCTAGTTTTACCCCAAATTAGAATAAAAAATACTACATATTAGATTTTATGCTTTTAAAAGTCTTTTTATATGATTTTCAATTGATAAGCTCCAACAATTTTCGGCCATCATGTGGATGTCTCACCTTCCTTGATATCGCTCCTCCAAAGTCCTGATGTCTTGGTGGATACTCTCGCCCTGCTCTTCGGTAATATCTCCAAAATTTTCCAAAAACCGTTTTGAATTTAAGTGCAGGTGATGAATTCAAATCAAATACATCAAATTCAATTTTTCAAGTTTTTCAATTCAAGTTTTCAATTCTTCCTGTCTTAAACGTTGGTTTCTGCATCCATTACTTGGTAGGCAGGAGATGATGATGTTCTAGGTTGTTCATCATTAGCATGGATAGGGTTGTGTATCTGGTCAGAAGTAGACTTAAATACCTTTGGGGTTGTGGTTTATGATCATTTGCTTCTATTGCCTGCATTTATTTCATTGGTATTTACCACACAAAAGAAACAATCGTCGTGGTAATTCTAAGTTTTTTTCTAAATGGCGGGAGTATTAAAGTTATAGCATTTCTTTTTCTTCTTGACAATAACGTAAACACACTACGCATTTTTTTCACATAGTATGAAGAACCTATGTTTTATCTTTATTGCGCAATTCAGTTTTAAAGTGGTTGAAATTCGTAGACAAAATGAGATAGTACTCATTGGCAAGCACTGCTGGGTAGTGCATTTGAGAAAAAGAAAATTGAAACCTGTAAAAACCCGTTCATTGGCATTTAACTTTTACTCTAACTTCTTGCATTTATGGTAAAGACTATGGGTCCATGAATCTGTAATGAGTAAAAACAATTGAGGCTCATTATAATATAATTCAAAATAACTTTTCCGATTATTTAAGATAATATTGGTTTAGAACTCTCGGTAACTGGTAAATTATGTATGATAGAACATAAATTCGTAATATTTATAAGCTCATTACTATAAGAATCAATTTGTTAGCTTTAAAAAAAACGTATACTTTCTTTTGGTAAATAAATTTTAATTTAATGCAAACAATTGATATAGAATTGAAATAATTCTTTTTTGTTAATATATATTTAAATTTTACAGTTGATGATTCATCTGCACGTGATTCACCTCCTGCATATACACCAGGAATGTTGCTGCTGAGGGTCCACGAATTTCTGATAATTTCCAAGAAGCTGTCCCTTATAGACCTCCGAATTATATTACGTAAGTATTAGATCAATAGAGTTTTATATTTAAAATA